TAGGTTTAGGCCCATTCTATACTCCGTAGTTTCAAAGCCCAACTACTACACTTCAACGTCCACATCCTCGTAGTACAAAGCGTACAACTTTCAGGGAGCAATAAAGAAGCTTAGGAAAGTGTTTTTACCTTGAGGAAAATGAACTGGTCTGGTTGATTCGTGTCGAGTCTCGAAACAATGCGAAGAAAAGAATATAATTCTGGGGTACTCTGATTTGGGGCTACTTCATTAGCTTCCTTTATCCTTTTTCTAATCTACAGTGTTAACTGTTAAGAGAATGAACGCCTCGGATTAACTCCTCGAGAATTTCCAATCAAATTAACAAGATTTTGAATCACTCTACCGTCTACTCTTTGCTAATCAGTTTTTTTTTTTTTTATGAAATCTCAAATTCTCTTTCATCCACAAAAATATGATTTGTCCTTGAACTGGTCCTTTAATGCCGATATGGATTTTTTATTTCCACGAATTCGAGCTAAGTCTCAAAGGAAAACTACTTAATTGTTGACAAAAACTTGAGTAGATCCGGTGCTGTACATCATGCGATCCAAATTTTGCCACACTATCAATTCTAGTGTGACAAATTTTAAGCCAAGTGATCTACATAGTCGGATTTTACCCTATTGTTTTGTTTTGGGATCACTTCAGCACTCTTTCCATCTTCTTATACTCTTTTACAAATTTGAGTAAATTAGGAAATGTCTAAGATTAGCTCATTCCAAGCCTTTTCGTCGTTCGACCTAGCGGCAGCTGGCAAGTGTTTGTGTACATTCAAGAGTTTCTATTCAGGTTAATAAATCCACTTTGTTGGACTTTTTAAGTGACACTATCAATTGGTGCAACATTATGAGTGGGACAAAGCGACAATGAACAATTGCAGAACTTCATGGACCACAAAAAGTTTCACCTTCCGACATTCCCATTGAACTAGCATTAGTTTGACCGTTTATAAATTTACGCTTGTGTATTCGGGATTTGGGGTTGGCTGAGCAGAATTCTTGCTCCCTCCCTTTGTTTCCCCAAATCTACTGTATTTACACATGGAATTTAAACAAAGCAGAGCAAGACTCATAAGGTGTCTCCAATCGGCCGAGACAACTCAATCTTACTTAACTTCTGATTTGGAAGGATCCTAAATTCCTAATTTAATCTGCCACTGCTAACAGCTGGATCGATCTCAAAGGTGAACCGCGTGCAGCTTGATTCATGTCTGATCCAACTCACTCATGCATAAAGTTAAAAAGCAAGTGCCAGGATCTAGCAGCTGCCTGGTCCAAATTCTGTGTGATATTTAATTAATCTTGTCACAAATGGCCTGGTTAACATTTGTTTACTCTTCATTGTTTCTTTGGTAGAAATATTGAAACTTCACTAACTTTCTAACAAATCTTCCATATTAGAAATGGCACAACAAAGTTGTGAGGATCTTTCCTCCAAAAGATATGATCACATGTGAATTTTGCATTTTTAACTAACACATGAATGACTTTATTATGATTCTTACTCACTCATGAGGTATTAGATACCTCTAAACTGCTCAAATCCCTTGCAAATGTACTCGTTTCTAAATTTGAGAATGCTCCATTCGCGTCAAACATAGTTGTGGAAAATTAGCTAGGGTGCAAACATACTAACTTAATCAACTAGGAATGTAAATAAATTTAATTAAATCCAACATTTTAGTGTCTCCATTTGGATTGGCCTTTTTTTAAAAACTAATTTTTTAAATACAATATTACATCAATACATAAATAAAAATAATTCAAAAAAAAATCTCATCTATACAATATATCAAAAATAACTCACAATTATATATATAAAAAATAAATTCTATAATATTTTTCATCTATCACTATCACCCACCACCGCTACCAACCCCTCCCTCATCCTCCCTTTCCTACCCTCTTCGTACTACTCTTTTCCCATTCCCTCTTCCTCCCCCCCCTCCCCACCCTCAATCTGGTTGCGGCCGAATCGCGTCCAAAAGGTCGCAACTTTCTGATTGTGATCTAGTTGCGACTAGAGGACTCGACCTGATCGAGGGGGAGAGGAGAGGGTCGGGGGGTGCGGGGTGCAGGATAGGGAAAGGGAGGAGAAAGAGGGAAGGGGTGGTGGTTGTAGGTAGTAGTATTAATTTTTAAAAAGTATCCTAAAAATATTTTAATTTTAAAAGATTCTCCAAAATATATTCCAAAAATCCTTTCAAAAACATCATAAAAAACGTATTTATAGTAAACATTACTCTAGTAAAATATTTTAAAACCACCCCAAAAACACAGCTAGTATTCAAGGTTATTTGTTTATTTTATTACTAAAAGTGATATTGTATCCTTGCTTCAATTGCCCCGCTGAACTCTGACAATAAGAATTTGCTGTCAGATAAGAATTTTACTCTGATTTGTTCAAATATCTTGATACAACTTTGCTATTAGATGCTATACCAACTAGCCAACAAAAGAAACTCATTGGATTGATTTCATTTTGGTAGAGAACTGCAACTAGATTATCCAAGCGGAAGTAGGCAGATGATGGTGATGTTGTAAACTTAACTCATGAATCCTACTCTCTTGGTACTGGTACTGCACATCATTCAAAGGACCTTACCTGCTGGCTGGATTCATTCAAACAGTTTTTCTTTGCTTCTTGAATTCTTGGACCTAATCTTTGGCTTTTGGGAATTTTCTGCCGCTATAGCACTAAAAATCAAGCAACAAATATTCCCTGTTTCCAGTCACTCCCTCTGTTTTTGTTTTGAGGAACGCACCTTGTCTTTATCGTCGAGCGTTTTGCAAATTAAAACGTGACATTCTCTTGTCCAAGTAAATCCATGAACTTAATTGACAAAAGAAAAGAAAAAACAAAATGTAAAAAGCATTGCCGGATCAAAACCTCAATTTTAACAATAGAAGTCTCAGAGGTCCGAATGCTCAAGGTTGTGTTTGGATTGTATTTTTCATGGAAAAATTACTGTAGCGATTTGATGTATGTGAGGAAAAAAGATAATAGAGAAATGTGATCACAGAAAACGATGTAATTTTTCGACGAAAACCGCAATCCAAACAAGGTGTCATCAATCCAAAGTCCAAACCCTCTTCCGATTAAAAACTCTCTGTGTTTTCAGGCACTAAGCTTGACTGTGGTTTTTCATCATTATATTTTGGGTTAAATACCAAAAATCCCCATGTAGTTTGTCTAATGTTCACTTTACTTCCCTATGATTTGGAAACCTACAATTTGACTCCCTGTCATTTCAACTAAAGTAAAAGTCTAACGAAAAACATGTAAACTAACATTTGAAAGGAAAATGTCAAAATTGCCCCTCTATAAGGGTTTTGGGTTAAGTACCAAAACCCCCATGTGGTTTGTTAAATGTACACTTTACTTCTCTATGGTTTGAAAATATACAATTTAATTCCCTGTCCTTTAACCTAAAGTGAAAATCTAACAGAAATTCCGTTAAATACACTTTAGTTGAAACGACAGGGAGTCAAATTGTAGGTTTCTAAACCATAGGGAGGTAAAGTAAACATTAGGCAAATCACAGGGGTTTTTGGTATTTAACCCTTATATTTTTTAATTAACTTTTTATTTTATATACATAAAATTATTATAATATTTTTTTTGACAAAAACTCCTAAAATAGCAATTCAAACGGTTAAAATTCCAAAACTCCACAAACGGAGCCCCAGGCCTATTTTTAAGTACAATTCTTCTAATCTCCACCCCAACGCTAGATCAAAAGTCATCAACTTAGAATATTCAATCCAAAATCCAATTTTTCATGTCCCAATACTTTCTTCTTTCTTTCTCAAACCCCGCGGTCATTTCCAAATTAATTGCCCCTCATAGTAAAGTACACCATCGCACGAGACGACACCGTTCCCTTCTCTCCTCCGTTGCCTGCAAACTTGCATAGAACTGCGGTTACTTCTTTTGTTCTCTCACATCTCAATACACAGTCCCTTTTTTTGCTCCCCCCCCATCTCTCTATCTCTCTCACAAAACCCATCATCGGATCTGAGTTCCCAACGCTAAAACCTTAACCTTAAAACCAATCCCCTCATCTTCTATATTTTGTCCGATCTTCCCATTTCCCCACACGACCACACACTCTCTCTCCACCACTTCGTTTCTCTGAAAACCCACTTGGAAAAACGCAGGCACGCATACAAAGGGGGTGGGAAAAGGCCTCTTCCGTCTGGCTCTTTGGGGGGGGGGGGAGGGTCCGACCCGTTTAATACCGGGGCGGGCCAGCGGGTCAATGTGACGGGTACTGCAAATGGGAGGAACTGAAAAACGAAGACGATGAGCAAAGCCGGAGAAGAAGAAGAAGAGGACGAGCGTTTCCACGACTCATTGGACCGGCTCCTCTCCTCGACCAACACCTCCTGTTCTTGTTCTCCTTCTTCTTCCGAATCCGAGGATCCAAACCCTTTTTCCAACCCGGGTTCTCCTAATTATGCAGCCGACGGCTTGTCTGACCCTGTCCGCGTTGTCCCTAAATTTCCGATGGGCCTCTCGAATAATTACGATGTTTGGATCTCTCAGCCCTCCTCCGTTCAAGAACGCCGTCTCCGTCTCCTCAGCCAGATGGGTCTCAGCCGTGATCCCTCACTCGTGCGCCACAGACCGACGTCCTCCGCCGTCTTTGACAGCGGTGGCTTACCGGATTTATTCGGCAGATCGATGTTGTCGGATCACTTGAATCATAGGAACCCTGGTGAGGGTTTTTCTAAAACTCTATCAAATAGTTATATTAACGATGATCATAAAATTGGTTGTGACGATGGTAACGGTGATCATAACAATAAGAGGAATGTTTCTGGGTTTGTCCGATCAAAATCGGACGGTGAGTATATATATATGTATGTATGTATAGCTGAATTTTTAATAACAGCAACATGCTACTCCATACCACTGAGAAAGGAACGTCATATTACGGACTGATAAAGCTGTACCACGTACAACCTACTACATTCCAAACATTTAATACTAGAGAACAACATTCGAATAATTACTGGCATATTTATCACCTAGGAGGAAATAGAGTAGTAACATGCGAAAATGCTACTACTAAGTACTAATAAAGCAGCTTCATACCAGGACAACTAGGGCTGCATCAGGATTCAGGTACCACGACCTAATACGGGACATTAATTATTATAATCCTAAAGCAACAATACTACTATAATTACCGAGATAAGTTTCTCCTATGAGAGAGAACTAACATTACACTACAGAGATATTATTCTCTGATTAGATTAGCAAATACTACTAGATTAATCTCAAGCCTCAAAGGAAAGGTCTAGGTGATTCAGAAGCTCCACAAGCAATCAAGCTCAGTTGGCCCCACTTTCTGATTATCCGGCGCAGCCCAGTTGGTGACAGAGCCATAATGAATTCCATTCTCATCGCTGCCGTTAATGGGCTGAGGTGGTGGTGCAGCAGCCGCAGCCGTGGGGAAGAAGAAAGGGCAGTGTAGGTTCTCCTGCAAGGACCTCAAGTTAGGAAAAGCAGACAGGCCAGCATTAATCCTTGGGAAACGGGCTCCAGATGATGGTGATGGATCAAATAGAGAAGACAGCAATGTTGCTGCGGGAGCTGGCGGCGGCAATGGCGGTGGAGGCAGCTCAAATAGAGAATTATGGTTGAAAGATGCAGCAGCAGAATTGGAGAAACAGGGCACATGCTCTTTTGCGGAGTTGCAATCATACGAGCAGCTCTCATGGTCAGTGGTGGAAGCAGAGGTGGCACTGGTGGCGGTGTAAGTAGAAGAGTCGAGCAGCGGCGGAAGAGAAACTGAAGATGGAGAGCTAGCTTCAGGGTAAAGGTTGATTCCAGGGGCCAACCTCTTCTTGCCTCCGCCGGAGCCGGGGCCGGCTCCGGCACCGCATTTTTGAAACACCCTTGAAATCACCCACTCATCCTAGAATATTATCAGGAAAAGGTCAAAATGAGTGCGACAAATTTCATGGTCACCTTTTTGTGACAACTTCTGTAGCTCTAAGGTAACATCAAACCATGAAAATGAAGTAGATTCATGATTGCATGCAAATCAAAAGAGCGCATCTTTTCTGTGACATTATCGAAAAAGTTGCGAAATGTGACAAATCCAAGAATTGACAATTACCCAGAAAGCAACATCACATAATTCCAACTCCAGAATCGACAGTAATTTTCTATTAATTATCTGTCTCTCTCTATCCATCTCATTATCTGATTTGTCCTTGCAGCAACTGCTTTTGCATGCGAGTTAGCATTAAAAGGGTTAATGATCTATCACTGTAGGCATTCAACGTTGAGCATTCCTCGAGAATCATAAAATTTAATGCGTGGACAAGAATGTACTTTGCTTTAGCAGATGACTTTTTGCTTTAAATATAAATTCAAAATTGGATCAGTGTAACCTAGCATGGATAAACTTGAACTAGAAGAAGTACACGTAGCGAAATATGCGTAGAAATGGTCCATGTAGGACATAGAACAGTACATTTATCTGTAGTATCGATGTAAACAGTTAATCTATGCGAAGTTTATGACTTGGGAATAGAAACCTAGGTCTAGCCTTTACGGCTCTATGCATTTTTTTTGGGTTTCTTACTGAGCAAAATGAACACTGAATTAGCCTAATCATGCACTTGCAAAAAGGGGCGATCTTTGCAATTTTGCTTACCTTGGAACTTCTAGAGAGGTAATGGTAGGCAAATTTGCCTTCAAGCCGATATTCATGCATTACCCAGTTGCTCTTCTCTCCTTTTGGAGCCCTGCCACGGTAGAAAACCAGGGTTTTCTTCATGCCAACAAGGGAGCAAGTCTTGGAGCTGTATATTTCCCTGTCTTTTCCTGTAGCCTTCCAGTAACCAGCTTCTGTTGCCCTGTTAGTCCTCAATCCTGTCGGGTACTTCCTATCCCTCAAGCTGAAAAAGTACCATTCTTTCTCCCCCATCTTGGCTTTCTCTGCACAAAACATTGAAGTTTAGACAAGGCCAAATTCACAAGCTCATATCGGACAAATAATAGGGTAAGTTTGATCTTCGAAAATTTTAAAGTACCAGGAAGCTCCCAGGGCTCGCACTTGTTGAGATCAACTTCAGCAATGGCTTTTCCAGTGAAATTGCTGTCAAGAACCTTTTTCAGAAGGTAGTAAGTTATGAGCTCTTCATCCGTTGGATGAAATCTGAACCCCGGAGGCAAATGTGCATCACTGCTTTCATAGTAGTGGTAGTTTGCCATTGAGCCCAACACTAGTAGCTAAAACACTAATGGACTACAAGAAGTGTGTACCTCTAGATGAAATTTCAGGGTTTTGATCAAGAAAACAAGGGGATGCAGAAGACTATAATTTCTCTTAGAAAAGGATACAGCACATTGTGAATTGGAGAGAATGCATGGTGCCGTATTGAGGTGCTCGCTAGGGAACCGAATGGGAGTATTATAAGGGGGAGTTCATGGGGTTTGATGAATCCAGTGACAGGAGAAAAAGGTGAAAGAAATAATAAGGTATGATATGGCTGGAAAAATGCTGGGTGAGGCGGGGGATGCTTCTGGGCTGTCCTGTTCTGCTTTTTTCTCTGATTACTCTGCAGTCTACTACTGCGACGCTCTCACTCACTCACCAAATACAAATACAAATAGCTAGAGAGAGATGGAAAGATAGTAGTAGGAAATAGAGAGGGATGAGGGGGGAGAATAGGGGAGGGTGATGTATGTTATCTGAAGGAGTGGGCACCGGGCACTGCACTGCAATGGTTCTGTTTTGAGTATGCGTGCGTGCGTGAGGAAGTGTGCAGGTATTCCCTTGTCAGTGAAGAAAATGAAAGGGAGGGAACAGGAAGTAGTTTTAAAGAGAGAGGCTCTCTTTTGGGAGAAAAAAAATGAGAGAGATGGGCGAGGGAGAGAGAGATGATGGAGGGGAGAGAGATTTCACCATGGATCGATAAAGCTGTTCCATATCTCATCTGTCAGCACAGTACAAGATTAAATAAATCGGATGGAAAGAGACAAGGTAAATACGTGCACTTGCCCTTCCCTCTCTTCTTTGTTTTTCTTTTCTGTCCTAAGGTTTCTTTTTCCATCTCCTATCTCCTCATCAGTTACCCAAGCGATTTACTCGTCATCACATGCTTTTGTTGTAGAAACTTTTGGCATGTTTGCTCATAATTTTTGCCGATTTTACTACTGTTTCTAAAGTTTCTACGACATTATTTATTGTACACTTGTTGCCCAAAAATTTAAAGCTAAATTGCCAAAGCCAGAACAAAGATGCATGCAGCCTCTACATTTATAGGCCCATACTTCGTCATGCACTGGCTTTGAATTTGTACAATACTGGGATGATGCGTTAGAAATTAGGCATGTTTCAAGGCCTATTTATGGAACACACATCCCCTAAATAAGTAAACAAAACGATATTATTGTTGATTTTAGCATCTTTTAGAGAATAAATATTTTGTTTCATAAGATTAATGGTCTTCATATCTTATCAAAAACATGAGTACATGTTTGAAACTTTAGTCTAATAGGCTTGACGTTCTGGAGCAGCACCTGAATCATATAACAAGCTTTTATCATGCTGTAATCTATTATTCGTGTGAGTTACTATTTGATGAATAGTAGAGACTGTTCACTGTCGACTGAGACAACAGTTGAGGTATCTTAGGTAGCTTTCATCCCTGGTAGAACTTAAAGATATATTCATTCGAGTGATCAGCTGACCAGCAACATGATGGATTCCTCAAACTTAAACAATTACCTTCAAATCCTGAAACAAAATCTTTTAGCAACCAATACTTCTGTCTCATCAACAACCAAACCTGATTTATTTCTATTATTAACTGCAGCAGTTATGTTCAGTCCCAGTTGCACTCAGCACACACTACCGATGGATGGAGACAAGAAATTTGATTCTGATAAACGGGGAGAAAACGGTAGGAATGGATAGCAGGAGAAAAGCTGATAATAGCAGTTAAAGTTAGGTGTCGACATTTCAAGTTTCAACTCCTAAAAGATATGATCAGATGATCTTAGACGATTGCAATTTTTATGGTGCTGCTCGTGTTGTAACACTATGCATGCTGTAATAGAACTCACGTACTAACATGAAGATAAATGGTTTTGCATGTTTTGAACAGGCAATTTGTAACAACCGTACGAAATTAGACCCTTCTTTTGAGTTCTACAACACGCAAAACTCTAATTAGGTCTTATAGGGTATGAAAACAAACGTGGCTTATGTCCCAAAAAATTTTCTATTATGAGGTCCTCTTTTTGTTTTTTTCAGTTGAAATCCCATGCTAGGACTCCCGCACGACCTCCCCCCCCCCCCCTCTTTAAACAACAAAAAAAAAAAAAAAAGGGAACCAGAGTAGTTGGAATTGGAGAAGTGACATGGGGTGACTTAAAATTAGATTCAACAGAGGAAATGATTTCAATATTTTTGATTTTTCAGGCCATGCATGTATCTCTTCATCAATCCCATCCATCGATCTAAAAAAATGCACACACCACACACACACACACACAGAGAAACACGTCTCCTTCCATTCCATCCATCCATCCATCACAATCAGCAGAAGGGAGATTGATGCTCTTCTAAGATTTTGACGCGTCATGCTCGGATTTTGAGATGCAAAGATATATCTACATAGGCTCCCTACTAACTCTTGCCAGGCTTTACATCAAATCATCATCTCTCATCAATCTGCATGCTGGTGAGCGGCATCCGGTATTAAGTAAGCCCCCCGACCCCGATGGACGGATGAAGTAAAGGAAAGAAAGAAAGAAAGAAAAGATTGCCCTCTTTTACTTTATCTCTCTCTCTCATTAATTCCGTCCATCCTTTCAGCTTGTCAAAGCTCAAGCCATACAGGAGTTACCATAAAAGGCGAAAAAATCTCCCTTGATCTTCTACTATTTCGGGTTCCTCGCAAACTTCTTGGCATTTTCCGGCTTCTACTATTTCAGGGCCCTCGCACACTTGTTGGCATTTTCCAGCGATCCTAGAAGTTTTCTCATTTCCTTCTCCTACCACTAATTGCAATCCGGTTTAATTATTCGTCCGGCTCAGCCGCTCTCATTTCTCGCACTTCTTTTCCACATTCAACAATCCGGGTTTTTGTTGGTTTAATTTCTTGTGTCGACAGAGACACAACTGCCCATGAAAATAGTACCATGATGATAGTAATAATGGAGTGCCAAGGAGGTCATGGTAGGGTTCTGTTCATGGCGTACTTAAAAACAAGTACGTGGGATGTGAAAAGTACTGCTACTACAAAGTTAATGATAAAATTGACAAGCAATAATTAATGTTCTCTTTTTCATGAAAATTCTAATAATGGCCTGCCAATTTTGTTGTTTCCCAGCTTTAAGGCTGCTGCTCAAAAGCCATCCCCATGCGTACGTGCGTCTAGTGTTGCAGCCTGAAAAAAGAAAAAAGATGATCCAAACTTGGATGGTTGATGGTTAACATAATCGAAGGCAGCAATACTCAAGAAACCCTAGCACTACTACATTGGAACCTTGTTTATGTATCGTAGCAGCATTCAAAATTTGCATCAAATCCATCGCCTATTACTGCTAGAAATTCTTCTTGCCCCGCGGCATGTTATAAGGTTAGCAAACCGGCCGGTTTGACAAATGAAAAACTGCACCTGAAGCTTTTTGCTGTTTTTCATTCCCACACTACTGTTTTTTTATTCCGAGTTGGCATTATTATTTCTGTGTCCTTTTCTAGTTGTTCTGGCCTGAATAGGTAGCAGTTGACTTTTGAAGTCATAGTAAAAAAGAAAAAAAAAAAGTAGTATATATAAAAGTTCACTAGGAATGCAGAGTTGGTAGAATTATTTATATTTTAGTTTTTGGTATTTTGGGCGTATCGTCAATAAATGAAGGAGTGGTCTCAATTATTCAATTTATATATATTCAGAATTTCAGACTCTCAGAGAAGAGAACAGGTATCACCGTGTGGATCGCAGATGACGACAATCTGAAGTCAGCCGCCGCCCTCCACCCTACGGCGCTTTATAGCACCTGGCCCCACTATTATTTTGCCTTAGCGTGAGCACTTGGATAACCCCGTTCGGGTTCCGCCGGGGAGAGAAGCATTAAATGCTCCCCCACCCTCCCCAAAAAAATCGTTGATCATTGGCAGCACCCTCTGGACGATTTGAGCCGTTCGATTTTCATGCCGAATTTTATCCGGTGTATCCTATGGTTGTCTGGGTTGTTGCATGTTTGGTCACGAGGACGTGCCAATACGCCAAAAATAGCTCGTCTAAGAACTCAATAGGATGCAGGCTTTCCCTACAACGAACCGTTTAAAGATGTGCAAGTGTCAGCTAAGGACTTGTGTTTGCACTTGTGCTGTACAAAAATTTCTTTTCTTTCTTTTTTTTAAAAAAAAAAAAAAAAGTTGTTTTGGCGTAGAGATTCACATCGTCCCAAGGGTAGGACACCGGTGCACCCAATCGCGCTTTTAATTGACAGAGAAGAGAAGAGAAGAGGAGAATTGAGAGTCGAGTGCCTCTGGCATGAGCATCATGTCCTTATCATCAATCTCTCTACAGCTATAAATAAGTTTAATTAAATTGAATATTCTAATATTTAAATCCATTTCATTATTTTGTCAATTTTGAAATTGAACTGTCGAATTGAATTCAAATTAGCATTTTTTATTGAATGAAACTCGAGTTGAACTCAAGTACCTTCAGTTTTTGTTTTACAAATTTCAATTTTATACCATTCAAGTCGGGTTTAAGTCTAATTTGAAAATTTATTGAACACGAAATGATATTTTACCTTTGTTTGATTGATTAACGGACCAAATTTAAAACAAACTCTTATTGAATTAAATTCAATTCGAGTATCAAGTAACTTAGTTTGCTTTTTAATCCTAACGATCTTCCGTACCTAAAGAAGTTGATAATGATGCTAAACTTTTCCTTTTCCCCTTCTGCCGGTGACATTTAAAAAGGGGAAAACAAAAAAAGTCTTTGCCATGACGTTGGCTAAGAATTGTTATCAATCCTTGCATAGATTCCACTGTTTCCAGCCCGAAATAAAGCTACCGTTAGGAGTCGGTTCCAGAATTTGACATTTTTGGTATGTGAACAAGCTATGCTAAAAAATTCAAAATCCAAACTTTTTGGACTCCTGCCCCGATAGGTTGCTCGGGTGGTCGTGTAGCCCTTATTAGGATGAGACGGCCTGGATTCGATTCCGAACTCAGCAATCCGGCGTAATTTCTTGAGGATTGATGGGCCCGCTCTCCTCTAGTCGGGGTCTAGGCTCGGACACCTCCAACTGAAAAAAAAAAAAAAAAAAGACTTTTTGAACTCCCACCGGCGTGCCAAAATGTGGTCACTTAAGCTTCTCTCTAGCAAAAGCTGCAGACAACATTCTCAAATAACGAAGTTAGTTCGTAAGAGGATAACACTTTTGATCTTTTTTTTTTTTCCCCCAATTTAGAGGAGACATAACGCTTGATTCAACTGAAAAAAAAAAACTGGTTTTTAGATTAGGAAGTAGGAATTTGATGTTTTTAGATTAGTGATTGCGCTATACTTTGATTAATAGATTCAAAATGGCAATTTTTGGGTGTAGGGGAAAATGTAGAGGATAAATTGTATGACCCAAAAGGTTTTATTATTATTGTTACTGTGAAATGTTCCAAAATCTCAATCTAAAAATTTACCCTTGTAGTGGGCTCATGTAAGCAAAATGAATTAA